GTCTGAAAAATGTAGCTAATTAGCTCAGCTGCGCAGGCTAACATCAGCACTGACGTTCTGTCATGAGCATCGCGATGCTCAGTTTGGCCCAGTCAGCGCAGCAAGGTCCTGGGTTCAAATCCCACTCTTGTGTTTTCCCTTCACACTTCATTTAAAACTATAGTAAACTGTGAACAGCCAAAAACATGCAATACAGTAACACAGGCTCACACATACAGTGTCACAATCTATTGTACTTTAAGCCATCCTTTTTCCTTCCACTCAACTTTCTATTAATATACTTGGGTAGAGCACTATGAAGTGCCACCTCTTGCAGCTTTTCCTCCTTGTGGATGGTGTCAAGAACTGTTTGCTGGACAAAGGTCAAGCTCATACGGGGATTCATCTTAAAGTTTCAGGATTTTTACGGTCTACCTGGTTTAAGCAACAGCAGGGCTGTAACAAATGGAATGTGATGAACCCACTCTGTGGCGCATACGGTGGAAGATTGGACGTTCTGAACTAAAACGGTAAGTTAACTCAGTGGCTTTCAAAAGGAGAAAAGGTTCTTGAAAATATATTTTTTTTAAAAATAACTAAGAACCCTTAGACTGTGCAGTTAACAAAGCCAAGATGAACTTAAAAACTCAGACTGAGTTTAATCAGTTTAATCTGAAATGTATCAATTTCCTGTAAAGTCAAAAGAAAAGCATTAAATCCTCACTTTATTAAAAGCCTCTCTACAGATTTGCTATCTGCAACTCGAGTCTTCTTTTCATCTTCATATTCATAAATCAGTCACTTCATTCCCTCTCACCACCTTATCTTCAGTCACCAGGTCTGTCTTTGCATCCCTGAAAGCTCTCGGCGAGGCGAGCGTTCATCTGGACCTTCGCAGGGGCCGATCACATGTCGATTACATAAACGCGATACGGCGGGGCAAGCGGCGCCTGCTTTCTCATCCCCCCCTGATTGAAGATAAATTGTGTTTCAGATTAGACCAGGAAGAGGAGGAGAACTCCTCTAGCTGCAGGAAAAGGAGATTAAAAAAAATGTCTTACACAACCATCTTGAGTTAATCCAGGCGGCCCGCTCAGAAAATCCACACCAGGACCGAAGCGAATGGTTCTGATAGAGCGAGCCGGACACCTGTCAGGTTGAGGGGGGGGATACTTTTCAGCACCTCCGAAGGAGGTCTCATAGACAGGTGTGAATATCGTAGGAACACTGTCCTACAATGAACAGGCTCGTACTAATAAGTGGAAACAGTATCCTAAGCATAAAACCCAGTTTGCTATGGGTTCCCTGTAGCTCCTCCTGACACTTTATGAGACGGCACACTCAGGGGAAGAAACTGTCACCTTGAATTAAAGCTGCTTTTTAATAATGCCCCTATGCACGTCACCGAGTCTAAAGAAAGCTGCGTGCACAAAGCGTTTGTGGGCTGAAAACCTCAGTGGCCCACGCATTAGCATCAGTGGCGTGTGACTGTCACATCAGATAATTTAATATATAAATTATTAATTTGGAATAAAGTAGCAGGCACAGGAGCCCCACGGGGAAAGGCTCCCCAATGGTTCCACTCTTGAACTTGCCGAGAAAACCAATCAATCCTTAAATTCAGTCTTGAGTAATAGCTTGATCTCTATAAAATGAAAGTAGACGCTGTTTTCAAGACTCTCTTAATTATACGTGAATAAAAACAAAATATGAGGATAGACAATACTCAAACATGTCCCGATACATTACAAATTATAACATACTGAGCCAATATGCAGTGGAAATGAGATGGATTGTCCAGAGTCACTTAATGGTGTGCTCTGACTTTCCAGTTGACATTTTGACTATTTCTTGTGTTTCCAACCTGAAAACTAACACATTATTAGTCACACAGCTACAAATGAATGTGCATGCTACTTTGTTGAGATATAGCTGAGTGAACAATTGCATAAAATGGTATAAAAGGTATAAAAAGTATTTTTAAACTTGAGTCGTTTTGGATTTGGACTGCTGTCCATTACAGGTAAAATATTGCCTCCACATCACGACAACGGATTGTCTGACTGGACAATCTGTTGTCCATTTAGACAACAGATTGGTCCTTTTCTGAACAAGAAGCATTTCCATGTATGAGTTTCCTATTAGGGTTAAAGGCTAAGATGGTTTCCATGTATCTGTATTTAATGCTCAAGGGAATTTTTTTTATTTGGGTCATCATCTTTTGATTTATCAGCTTATGATTTTACATGCACATGGAAATAAGTGAATTGGCCTAACTGACAGTGTATAATTTTGACTTCTCACTACAAAGTTAAAATGTTTCCACATCTGTGTGATCTCTGAGATCAGTGTTTTTCAGGAAAACACTGATTGGAAGACACCATCTTCAGATTGTGAGTGTAATCATCACCTCTCAAGTCGCTGCACATTGTGTGATGGAGAATAAATTTAATCTTATTCATCAGAAGGATTCTCCGAGGCAGAGAAACCTATCACTGTTACCATAAAAGGCTTCATGTAATATTTATAAATGCTATTAATATTTATAGCATAAAAAAGGATGGGGTGTTTCAATGAGAATATGGAGAAACTGATCAAAAGTTGCTTTATTTTAATCATCTTCAGATTTTATTTTTAGATTTTACTACCTGTGCCTGTTCTGTTTCAAATTCTATAATTTTAATAGAAGACGTGTTGCTGGACTTTTTTTTTTCTCTTGTCATTATGTGGTTATTTGAAGTATGATCAGATACTTTATGGCACTTTCTATTGTTTACAAGGATAAATGTCAGGGTAGCAACATGATCCTGTTCCCAGAGTGCTCAGATTTTCTGAACCAACTCATTACTAACCAGGATTTTCACATCTGGCACAAGTCCTAACGAGTTAACGAAGATGTAAGAGATCTAATTAGTCATATCTCAGATTGTAATGTTCTATATCTTTCATGTGCAAGAGGACATACAAGTGACATTTTATTAGATTCCGTCTTTGAAGCTGCCATAAAATGAACCAGTTTTAGAATGTAAAAGTGTATGAAGCAGAAACTTATCTCTGTGTGTTAACACCAAGTGCTGGATTTAGAGGAAAGTAGGCCACCGAGAGACAGTTGTGGTTTCCAACCCACACAGGTTTTAACACATCCAATTTACCATGAATTGATGGCGAAATATGAATCAACTTTAAATGATCTCGGCATTCTCCACATGAAAATAATGTGCTGCCGAAATTAGAACTATCTTCCAAAGATCACCCAAAATGTTAGAGTACTTCACACCTGTACAGTGCTGACGATATATTCGCCCCTTGCCGATCTCTTCTGTATATGTCTTTTTTTTTTTTTTTTTTTTCGTCACACATGAACGTTTTACACCATTGCTTAAAACAGAACCTATCTGACAACATGAATGAAAAATGTATGAAAAGGAAAACATTCTTTCCCGATCTAGACATTTAAGAGAGGAAAGGAAGAAAGGATTGCAAAGGGCTTTCTAAGGGAAATCCACAAATGGAGAAAATATGGAACAGTGCCGAACCTTCTCAGAAATATTAAATTTACTTCAAAATGCATATCGTCACCATCCTAAAATAAATAAAGGCCTAAGTCACTTTTTTGCCAAAAGTTATTTTTGGCAACAAAAAGTGTGTGTGTGTGTGTGTGTGTGTGTATATATATATATATATATATATATATATATATATATATATATATATATATATATATCACGGGATACTTTATGACTTCATCCAGAACAGCATCTAAAACACTTAAGTCCTCACATGAGTCTGTTAGGGTCAGTGTTCATGATTTAACACAAAGAAGGAGAGACTGGGGGTAAAAAATATAGTGACCAAATAAGAACACAAAGACCTGTTTTGTATGTGATCCTAGAGGCTTTTGGAAAATATTCTGACAAAACAAAACTGGAATTCCTGTAACATGTCCTGTAACACCTGGTGTGAAACTAACTATGAGGAACATGATGGTGAATCAAACATGATGGTAGTGTGATGCTGTGGGGTTTCTTTGTTGCTCCAGGATCTGAACAACTTGCTGTAATTGACCATCAAGACCACCTATGCAATGTTTAAACTAACAATAAAAAAATAAATAAATAAATTGAAGGCTTCAGAGTGGTCTAGTTAAAGTTTGGACATGCGTCCGACAGAAATGCTGTGGCATATGGTTAGACTGACCATTCGTTCTTGAAAGCTCACCAACGGAGAAGAGTGTTCCAGATGCCCTCCTCGGTGATGTGCTGCTGTTGGGGTATTAACTTTGGGGGGAAACTGATCTGCACATAGAGACAGGTGGTTTTAGCTTTTTGTCTTTCAGAAAATAAAATCATTTAAAAATGGCTATTTGTGTTCACCAAAGTTGTATTTGTCCGATATTAAAATCTGCTGGATGTAAACCCCCCGCCCCCCATACAGCAGAAGAAAATGACGTTTTGTCTCAACTAGTTTGTTTCCTACAAACAAGGTAGTTTTGTATATCTATAAAGATTATACTATTTTCTATTTTGTTGTATTAAATAAAAAAAAATGTCACTAAAGGTAACGTCCAGGGATTTTCCAACAAAAAAAAGTAATGCAACACAAGTTTCATTGCAGGCAACATTTAACAGTTACAGCGTTTCACTTCTGCTGCCCCCTACCGATCAGAACAACTTAGTTCTTTATTATTTTTTTAATGTAATGACCCTTGGATTAAAATTTACATAAACATTAATCATAGAAACTTAGCTGGGAGAAATACATTAATTTGATCTGCTTTCTATCTACACTGAGCAGAGCAGATTTTACATTTATTTTGGGGGAAAAATGGTGGACTTCATTTGTAAAGATCCCTGGGGATGCTCCTTGAATGTACTGAAACTCCGGACCATCTGTTCGTCTGACCTCACAGCCAAATCTGTCATCTGGGCCGTGTTCAGATAAACTATGCGACACAAGTTACGTTTTCTCTCTCTCTCTCTCTCTCTCTCTCTCTCTCTCTCTCTCTCTCTCTCTTTCTCTTTTAAACGGATCCTTACAGCAGGTGCGTCACTTTCCTTCAATTAAACTGGGGGTCATTTCCCCTCCAGAATCCGCTCAGACGGTTTCAGCTTTTATTCCCCGCATCGGCGTCGGGGTTGCAGATGGATTAAAGATTAAGAGCAGCGGAGGAATCCAGCGTTTCCTCTCCGGATAGAGACACTCCACACAAAGTGACACAACGTGGGCGGCGCGTCGAAGACCCGATCTGCAGGCACGGCGCAGCGGCTCCACGCAGGAGTCAGGAGCTGGGTGTGAAGCTGAGAAGACGTGACGGCGTGGTCCTTTCATTGTGTTGACCTGCGGAACAGAAACACGCGTGGAAGCTTAGAGTGGGGGCTCCGGGTTAAGGCTAAACTGTCCTCTGGAGCGCGTCTGACCACATTGGACCTCACTTGATTAGGAAAGAGAACGATGCTGTTTTATCCATTTTTTTTTTTATTTGAGCATCTGAACTGTTCCACCTGACGCGCCGCAGACGATAAATTGGATGTAACCTCTGGCGAAAACATTTTTGGAAACGTGATTCTTGTCTCTCTGCCTGCGCGTATTTTTCTGGAGACATTTCCAGCGACGCGTCATTGGCACGGCAATAAATCAAAGAGATGTGGCTGCTGTGAATTTCTTTTTTTTTTTTTCAAACTGAACTCAAAGGGGAGTGATCAAGAGCCAAGTAGCCCGGGAAAGAGATTTTCTTAATGAAGTGACGAGAAGACGTTTATGGCCACATGAGAATTACGTGAAAAGCTCTGGAGATGCGGCGCAAATGCTTTTATCTGCTCCAGGTGAGTTTTGTATATTTAAAATTTGCGCTTCCACTTCATGTTCCTGCTTTGGATGTTTAATTAAAACTCGCCCCGTCTGTCGTTGTGATTAACAGCTGCTGAGTTTAATCATGATGCTAAAGGGATTGAAAGCTTCCAGCAACATGACAGGGAAAATGTCACCATAATGTCTAGGAAAAACCCGCACAGTTTTCTCAGATGAGGGTTTAAACCTGGACATTCCTGACAGAGTCTGGCCTTTTTTTAAAATGTATATTTGTTTCAATCAAAGTGCTGATGCAAGAGTTTACCTGCAAACACTGAAACTTGAACTTGACTCTTCGGATCATAAGTCATCCCAAGTGGCGTGATTCTTATCTGTAACTGGAACTCAGATGCTGATGCTGAGAAATCCGAAATTTGGCACCGGTTTGTTTAAACGAGCGAGTGTCCTCTCTTTGGTGTTTCATTCAGATGTCTCTGCTCTCTGACAGTGCGCCCTTGACTTATCTCAATATCGCCACATGTTTTTGCTCCTAAGTGGAGCCTGCAGAGGCAAAAATGAGAACACGTGATGTGTTGACCTCATATAAGAGACATACTGATGATGTTGGGGGACACCTGAGGTGCAGGGCTGGTTTTAGGGGGATGTGGGCCCCTGGTCTAGCCTTGGTTTTGGTGCTCTACCCACACAAGTTAGGCTTTGCAGAAGATGCATTGAATACAAGTCTGTTTATTTTGTAATTAAGTTTTTTTTTTTAAAAAAAAAAGATAGATTCGGGAATCATAGATTCATTACTTGCAGTGAAATATTTGAAGCTTTTTATATTTGTAATTTTGATGACCATGGCTTGCAGCTGTTCAGAAAACAAAACTTTAGTGTATCAGACATTCAGAGTATCACATAAAACCAATTTTGAAACTGATGTTTAGTTCTTGAATTTTATGTTATGGCCAAAACCTTTATGGCGACAGTCAATATGCTCAGACAGGAGAGGAGGGTAAAAACCTCTAAAGGTCACTGCAGAAGAAGCTGGTTGTTTCACAGAATGCTGTATCCAAGTATATCAATGGAAAGTTGCGTGGAAGGAAAAATGTGGTAGAAAAACATACACATCAGGGGTTATCCCAGCCATGAGAGGATTGTGAAGCAAATGTGTGAAATATTACTGAAATCAGTGCTTCATGAGCCGCATATTGATCTTTTTGGGACAGGAGCTAAAAGTTTCACATTTGTTGTGTTAAGCCCTTCTTAAACTAAAGACAACATGTATTGCATTTCCTTTAGAAATTAAAGTCCTAGAGTCCAGGGGAGTATTCGGAGAGGGACAGAATGCATTTATATCAAGCCCAAAAACAGTGCAGTTGTTTACCAGGAAATTTTAGAGCATTTCTTTCTTCTCTCTGCTGGCAATCTTTATGGAAAAGCGGATTTCATTTTCCAGCATGGCTGACAAAGGCACAAATACCTTCTTTAATGGTCATGGTACGAATGTGCTTGACTGGTATGCTTCGCTTTGCAGAAAGTAAACCTCCCAGAAAATCCAGAGTGTCGTCAAGAGGAAGATCGTAGACTCCAGAGCTGACAATGGAGACGAGCTGAGGGCCGCTCCCAAAAGGACCTGAGCTTCCTCATTATTACTCAGCAGGGCCACAGTCTGATTGTCTCCGTGCCATGCTGCATTGATGCATTAATCCACGAAAAGGGAGGGCCAACCAAGTATTGGCTGCAAGAACCGTCCAGTTGGCTGACATTAATTGGGCTTTTATGGTTTCTAAATGTACAGTTGAAACCAGATATCTGCATACATCATAATAAACCTCCCTTTTTCCTAATGCCTGGCATTAAATCAAACCAAACCTTTCCTGCTGCCAAAACAATCTGTTTTCTAAAAAGCTGAATAATGAGAGAGGGAGATTTAAAAAAAAAAAAAGTTTTTCTAAACACAAAATGTTTTCATACATCTCCTTAGTTTTTGGTAGATTTGCTATATAAACCGTATGGCTTGGGTCAAAGGTTTTCGGAGTCCTTCCACAAAAGTTTGTTGAAACTTTGATCGCTTTTCCAGAAAGAACTGCATGTGGGCTGCTGTCACCTCACACATTTTTTATGAGACTGAGACCATGCCTTTGTGACGACCAACCCAAAACATGTTTGTGGTATTTAAGCCGCTTCATCATTAATTGGTAGCATACTCTGGATCTTTGTGCCTTTAGAAGATCCATTTGTATCCCAAACCTTCCTGGCTGATGGTTGGAGATGTTTCTTTCGTAAATTCCACCAGTCCCTCCTGCACCAAAAAGTTCACGTAACAACCTAATCTTCTCACCCAGCTGGGAAGCTTCTACCTCTCCCGTAAACACAATTACAATCATTATGACCAAACGCTTCAATTTTAGTTTCATCAGACCACAGGACATTTCTTCAAAAATCAGGTCTTTGTCCCTGAGGACATTTGCAAACTGTAATCTGGCTTTTTTTTTAATCTTACTCTTTGAGTAATGGCTTTTTCCCCTCTCTGAGGGACTTCACAGGACTTCGTGGACAATGACGTTATCTTTTCAACTTCAATCACTATTTTCACAAGATCTCTGGCATTTCACAACAAAACGTGACGTCTGGAGGAGGCAGAACCCATCTCCTTACTGCAGGGTAACTTTGTTAGACATTCCCGTGCTGTTGAGTTCATTAAAATTGGTGCCTCCGATTACTTCAGTTGTCATTAGCCACTCCTATATGAAGCTTTCAAAAGCCATCTGAATGAATTATTTGTTGTGTAAAGTCATTGCTACATTAGTGATTTTAAACTTCCGACTTACAAGACATTTAAAGAAATTCAAAAATGTTATATTTCATTCTAGCATTTTACAAGTGGAATAATTTTTGGTAATACTAATTCATTTAAAACAGGAAAAAGAATGTTTCTTCGTATACAGTAAAAGGTTAGGTTTGAGCTGCATAACCTACTTTTTGCAAAGCATCCACACGTTAAAAGCAACTCCTTCTAATCCTTAAGCATCTGAGCTACTGCCCAGGTAAGCCTGGCAAAAAAATCTGATCCAGCTGAGGTGAATGTCTTCATGCACGTCCTATCTAATTGTGAGAGAGGAGCTGCTGCACTAAGAATAGTCAAGAATCTTCTGCACAATGCCTCCCCTGTTTTCTATTTGAGTCCCCTCTGTTATGATTTAAGACCCCTCTCTCACAGGCAGACACACACATATCACATGTCCGTAAAGGTCATTTGAAGCTAATCGCTTCAAATGAAGATGCGAAGCTCTCGGTGCGATTAAAAGATTCTGTGACAAACGGCAACTATGCATCCATACTTTTAGAGAAGCTTGCAAGTATGGTTAAAACAATCTACAGAGAGGCTTGATAGACATTTTTATTGCGTTTTGTTACAATTATTATGGCTTAACGCATAAAGCCGACGCTAATAACACTTTAAAATTGTAAACTACTTTTTCGAGAGATCCTCGAAAAAGACGGGATATAATATGTCACGAGAGTTGCCACACCTATTGGTCGTCTTTGTACAGAAGGAAAAACAATCCATTTGAGTTTGATAATTTGAGACAAGTCACCTTATAACCAGGGGGACTTGTATTGAGAACATTACGTTGACGTCACGCTGCGTTGAATCCCGAGCAACTTGGGGTCATTGTTTTGTTTACATGGCTTGTTGTGAGGATCTGGAGCCTGGATATATTGGACAGATTGCGGCGAGGTGCAAAGAGTGGGTCTCTCCGTGTGAAGGGAAGTCTTTATATGAGCATGTGAAGAAGAAGTTTGCCACAATCAATCAAACATAAAATCTACTTCATATTTTTGTTATTGTAAAGTACCTTATAAGATGCAGCATCTTCATGCTTTTGGGTGCAGAATCGGAGTAGAAAAACTACAAACTCTAACGCAAATATATCCCATAATGATATGTGTATGAAAAAAAAAAATCTTTCATTACAGTAACATAATCTCATACTGAGAAATGTGTATTGATTCAATGTTTAATTTGAGGACATTTGTTCAATGTGGAACGGAATCCAAGTTTGAGTAAAAATGTCAGCAAACAAGGCTGGATGAGGACTGAAGTTTATCTTTCCACCACACATAGTGAGGAGGACGGTAAAAAAAAAAAAAAAATATATCTCCAAGGCTGCCTGAGAAAATGGCAGCATTGTTTTTTTTTTCATTTTCAGTCATGTCCTAGTCTGTGCAGGTGAGGCCCATTGAGATCTGAGGTTTCATTTTCAAGAGAGAGCTGATGAAATCATTCTACAATAGAAAGTAGCTTTTGTTGCAAATAAGCTTCGTTCAAATATTCCGCTCCATAACAAGTCAAATTCAGCAATTAAACTGGGCAGATGAGATTACTATTAAATGCAATTATTAAAAGTAATATAATTTAAAACCTTGAGCTATGCTGTTTAGCGGTAGGGAGTTTGAGCTACTGCAGGAAGATGCATTTATGTTCAGGCTTTCGGCAAAAATCTTAGAAAGCACCGTGACATAAAAACATGAAACAAGTGATTGATGAGCATACCAGAAAAAAAAAAATGTTTAGATTTTATCTTTTTTCTTTGTTTTTTCTGAGCAAGACTAAACAGAGACGATATAACTTACACACAGGAGTTTGGATATGATTGGGACAACAAAAGATTACACAATAGACATTGTTCGTGTTTTGTTTTGATTACAAATCCGACCATGCACAATGCAGTAGTTGGCAGAAAACAAAAATGGGTGGAAACAACCAACAGTAATTCTGTTTACATTGCAAATGCTCTGCTGAGTACAAAGTGAGTGAATATTAGAAATGATTGGTATTTTTTTTTGGGGAAAAAAAAGAATAAAATAAGAGAAAGTTTCAAAGCCAAGTCAGGGATGTCCTACTCCGTTCCTCAAGAGCTGCTAATTTTCCGGCACAGCTATTTTAAGCAAACAAATGACCTCCTTAGCATGTATTAAGTTCTACCCGGGGACGTGGCAGAGACCCGTCATGTAATTCAAGTGTGTT